CACCATCTGTGGGGGCCTTGCTTGGCCCCCAACGGCTGGCGGGATCCAGCGCCTGTGAGTTGCCACTTCTGCCAAGAAAATAGCGCCTTGTGGGCGCCCAATCCTGCCACCCACAGGGTTGCCGCTTGGTCCCTATGGCTGGTGAGATCAGGCGCCCACGACGCGCCATTCTTTGCCACACGGTTGCCCACTTCAACCACCCAGCGCCGAGCTGTGTGGCGAGGCAACAGGGAAGCAACACACGGTGAGGGTTGCTGCCAAGCTCCCCCCCCACCCCACCCCCCGCGCTACTTGTGCCCGCCCGCGCCCCCCTTCCCCTCGTGGACCCACAAGAACACGTTGCACCGTGTCAGCCCCCGCTGGACACCTATCCACGTAATCCTCATTTCGAGTGGAAGGGTGCTGTTTGAGGAATCTAACTAATCGCTCTCTCTTTTCCGCGAGGATTCCTTCTCCTTTCCCTGACAAGGCTAACGCGGGTCAGCGGGTCAGTGGTTCAGGGTGTCCGAAACAATAAGTTCTCGATGTTTGATGCCCGCGACTGCACTCCGCCGGACGCGGCACAGCGTCAGTCGCTCACCGCATCACCCGTCCCACAGTACGTGTTTGCGCTCAACGCGGTGGCGCCTGATGCGTCACGTACCGAGGGCGGGCGTCCCATGTGCGACTGGCGGTTCAGGCCTCGGGATAGACTTCGCTACGTCGTATGGTAGAGCCTGGATGAATTGACTCATTCAGTGGCTGGGCTGTCGAGAGGCACGGGCCGGTGGGCCGAGGCCAGGCTCCGCGGCACTGCGACGGCCTCGGCTCCCTTCCTGGGGAAGGGCGGGCGGGGGCCAGGAGCCCTGTGGGGATCCCGAAGGCGCCGCTCGGGCTGGATGTCCAAGACTCCGAGGTGAGGCCGAGAGTGATGAGGGGCCGGCGGGCGGTGGGTTTGCGTGATGCATGGCGTGGGGTGGATGCGCGTCAAGAAGGGGGGTGGGGTGGGGGTGGGGGGGAGGAGGGGCGGCTGGGCTCTCAAAGACTGGGTTGGTCATGGTGACACGCTGAAGATGAGGTGCCTGGGAGCTTGTGCGCATGTGGGGCGGGCATCACGCGTGGACATCGATCGATGCCGCTGGATACGGGCGCGGGAGGGCAGACCGCAGGGGGGAGGGGGGCCCTCTAGCAAGGGAGCCGGTGGTGGCCGCGCAGTGTGGCGCCCGGAAGGCCTTTCAACTGCGAGTCTCGTACTGCCTCGGCTGCGGACTTTTGACCTGCCCGGACTTTTTGACCGGCCCGGCGCCGGACGGGACGAGGGGGGTTGCGCGTGTAATGCCCCGGTGGCGCGTCGCAGGGGGTGCCGGACCGCCCAACGAGCGAGGGAGGAGGAGGGGGGGTGCGGGAAGGGCTGGGGCGCCAGATGTGGATGCGCTCCAGTTTCGACCGTAACGTGGCGGGATATGCCGTCATGCCAGTGATGGGCGGCCGTTGGGCGGCTGTCAAGTGTCATGGTATGAAATTCCTTGGCTTGCACGGCCTGTTTGTCGAATGATGGTCTGGATTTCGTGGGCGTTGGAATGACCGGCCGATTGGCTCGCGAGTCGACATCAGATTTCCAATTGGTCGACGTTTCCCACATCGGAGGCGCCGCTACACGTGGGGAGGTATTTGGCGAACCTCCGCCACAAGGTGTGCCCCCGGGCCGTTGTGTCACGTGGTGTCCAACGCAATCAAACCGCTAATAGGTCCCCGTGCACAAAGGGCCCCGCTCCCACGCGCTTTGGGACACCAGATACCGGGAACAGCCTGTGGCGAAGGAACTGGGGGTGCATGATCATGTCACACATCATAGGGGTGTTGCAACATAGGGTAGCTGACTCAACAGCTGTGACCACATTTGACGCGCTGACGTGGCAGCACCCCTCTGAGATGGCCAGGACGCGGTGCCAGGCCTCCGCGCCAGCGCCCCCCCGACTGCCCTGTCTGGGTGAGTAGGCGTGAAAAGGGGGCTGAGATTGGGGTATGTGAAATTCTGCCCCTTTGTTTTCCCACCGGTGGCTGGTTTCGCGGCAACTTCCAGTGCACCCTCCCCGTGAATTCCTGGTCCTGACGGGCAGGACGCTGTGTCTTCCTTGCAGCCGTGGGCATGCCGATTCCAAATAAACTGGTTGTTGCACACGCCATCGCTGCGTGCCTGTTGTTTGCCCAAGTCGATGGTCGGGACAAAAAAGGTGCGAACGTTGCTGGCGCCTTGGCGCCCACCGTGCCAAATGCATTTGCTCCCTGTCTTCGCTCCGATTCTCATGAAAAATCTGCAGTCAATGAACCAAATGGACGCTCGATGCGAGTGGCAGAACTTGTGTGTTGACACAAGCCAGGGACGTCTCTGGCTGTCCCTTGCCTGTGCTTCTCTTTCATGTTTGTGTGTGAGCGAAGTCGACCGCTCTAGTTGTTTTGCAGATATTCTCAACTCTCCGTCCCTGGCATGCAGCCTGTCATATCGCGGGCGCCCAATTACGTCGGCCCTTCGATGCTTGCTCGCCTTGCGTCTGCGGCTTATTTCATCGCTGGGACGCGATTTTGAAAGTGACAAACCAGAGCCGCGCAGTGCGCATCGAGCACCTGGCCGAAGACATCCAGTGCTTGGCTGCTGCGAATTGATGCTTGTTGGCTGATGCGCATTTCGTGTTTTCAACAGATGACAATGCGCCCAAGTGTTCGTCACTTCGGGAAACACATGCGGAGTTTCCAAGTGCCATTGTGGTGACTGATGAGACGCTCGAGCTGGTTGGGAACGATCTCCGGCACATTGTGAAGTGTTCTAAGAGGAGCGGAGTCGTCATTTTCGAGGCGCCGTACGTGCTGCCTGCATCGACCATAATATTGGACAAACCTATCGAATTCAGGTCGAAGAATGGGTCCAGGACGGGCTTCGGGTGTCCCCCAGGGGGTACAGTGTTCGATGTGCGGTGAGGCCAGGCGAAACGAATAACAGTAACGGAATTTTCGTTTGCCAATGGAAGAGCAAACTCTGATATTCTTTGAACGTCGACTGTGTGTCTTTCGCGTCCTTTTTGCCGGATCTCTGCCTGCTGTGTTGTCGCTCTTGGTTGAGGCCGAGCCAACTTGCTCTGTTTTTCAAAATTCATTGCATATCGGGAATATGTTGATCGTTGTGTATTCAGGATATGCCGAGTAAATGCAAAACTCACACGCATGCATTGCACTGCCACACTCCCAGATCGGTTACCGGAAGGAGTCTCTACTGCTAGGAGATACCATACCTGACTTTGGGTGTGTCATATGCTTTAGGTCGCATGGGGTGGTGCTCTCTGGCCTGTCCTTTGAGCCATGCAAATCAGCTAGGGGGGTCGCCCTTGTCGACATATCGGCATGCAAATCGACAGGGCCCCCGGTCGCCATCCGCCAAACCGAGTTCGTTGCCCGCTTCGAGGAGGATGGTGCAACAGGCTTGGCCGTCTCGTCCGGCTGTCGCCTGCAAATCGATGGTTCCAAATTTGCTGCCTTCATGGGCGCCTCAGGGGCCGCGATGGCCGTTGTCGATGGGGCCAGCGTTGATGCGAGAGACACGCTGTTTGACTCCAACTGGGTGTCTGAGCAAGGCGGGGCTATCAGCGTCAGGAACGCCACTGCCAACCTCAGCAGCTGTAACTTCACGTACAACATTGCAAGAAGTCACAGTGGGACTGGGAATGGAGGGGCGATTTTCGCATCAGTAAGCCGAGTGCTGGTCATTTCTGTAGACACTGTATCTTGTTCCAGTAATTCTCCAGATGGCAAGTGGCGTTGCGTCGTTTGCCAGGGGTTGTGTTCTTCACCCATGCAGGAACTTTTGGCACCCTCTATGGCCGCGCAATTCTAGCAGCGAGGTTCCATGTGGGCACAAGGATTTGTTGTACTCCCAATTTCTGTGGCAATCGATTCCCTCCTCTGTGTCGTCTTTGCAGTGAAAGCTAGTGATCGCCTGCAAGAGTTGTGTTCTGTCGTATGTGGGCGAACGCGATCCAAGAAACTTGCTGATGCAAACCAGAGAAATGTACTCTTGCTTTCACTGATAGTTAGGCGAATAATGCAGGTCCAATTCATATCAGCAGTTGATGCCAGTGCTTTTTCTCCAACATCCAACGTGCGTAAATATAAACTTACCTAACAACACAGAGATGTATTCACATATGCGCATTCCCTTGAAGTGCATAGGCATTTGCGCATGTGCGCAATTCTTGCACAGTGAACTATTTGAAAGGCGATGGTTTCTGCATTGACAAAACGCTTGGGTGAGTACCAGACCGATGGCATAATGTCGAGTTTGATTGGGTTCCTCCCTTGCCTTGCATTTTTTGGGTGTGCGAAATGAGTCACGTTTGTGTGCGGCATTTGCCCAAAGGAGAATTCATTTGTCTACGCTGAACATTGCGTCTTCGCTCACAACCAATCTCCTGGAGGCGGTGCCGTCCATGCGGAGGTGAGGCAGTGTACTGCGGGTGGGGTGGGGTGGTGGGGAAGGAGGAAGACCTGCATGTGAGCGACAGCCTTGTTTTATACTCCACCGCTGGCGCTTGATGTCTAAAAACGTGTTCGGAAGCTCAAAAGCAGGTGTGCTTGTGCCCCGAGCAGTCAAGCACAATATTGCGGGTGAAGGAATGCAGCTTCCAGCGCAATTCTGCCGACTCACAAGGAGGTGCAATTTCCACAAAGGTGATCTTGCGAAAAGTATCCGATTTGAATGAGGGCTTTCGGAATATTGGGAAGTAACCGCGTTTTAGATTGCACGATGTATTTCACCTGTTGGAGGCAAATTTCATCGCCACGCATTGTATGCACGGTCTCCGGCGAAAGGTTTGCATGATACGATGGTGATTGAAGTGTTGCAAGGAACGGCACGACTTCTACTCAACCCTCTGCAGATCGTGGTATTCAGATGCGTGTGATCGTGTGGATCAAATTTGAATTCTGTGGAAAATGATGGAGATTGTACTGCGATGCAGAGTAAAGCATTAATGGAATTGGACGACTGCCTCTTCACAGACAACATGGCTGAATTTGGAGGGGCGGTGTACGCTGAGGTGAGCAACTGAACATCTATGTGGCACAGTTTGAGGAAGGCATCATGGCTGGGTTTGGAGACGGGCTTCTCAATATGCTAATACTCATAATATTCTTCCATGAAGAGCTCATTAAATGAGCAAGAAGAGGAACATATGAAGCAGGCATCAGCCACCAATATCGCCTCGCAAAGGCATTTTGATAACTGAAGAATAGCGGATTCAAAGTCCAGAAATCTGCCACAGGTATGTGGGCAGGAATAAGTGGCAAACGGTACCTTGCCATTGCAACACACAATATTTGGCGTGCCTTCCCCGTCGTGGATTGGTCGTTAGTCAGGGTTGTAATAGGTTGGCTTGCATTTGAAGAAGAAAGCAGCAAGGCTTTTGATCAGTGCGGCAATATTCCTGTGAACCACATTGAAACTAGACAACTTTTGTGGCAACTTCGCACCCGGGAAAAAGTCAGTGTTGCTTGCCTGAGGTTTGGGATCGTGTTGTTCGGCTGCTGTGGAGTTGTTTTAGTACTTTGCAGAAAACTACTTTCTGCGTCCAAGATTAATTTTTCTCTATTTGAAACTTATATTTTATTATCCAAACTGCTTTCGAAGTACAACAAAGATTGGAATCAAAAAGGTTGGGTTCCAAAGCCCCTGACTACAAATTTTTCTGCAAAAATACTCAACCCCGCCACTTCTGATTGCCGCTTGAGATGGCCTAAGTATATACGGTTGTTTGCGCCTCTTTCCAGCTTTTCGCTACTGCAGCTAGCCCATTGTTGGGCTCGTGTTTCAATCGCGCTGTGCTGATAATTGGAGCTTCCAGACACTCGCATTATCGCTAATGTATGCCGTGCCCACAGCCATTGCAAATCCATGCTCCTGTTAGAAAGACGCCGGAACAAGCCAAAATCTCGGCATGCACCCAATGTGGCTCACCACAAAATCCCTTCTGGTACCATTGGGTTAGCGCATGCCAGTGCCAAATACCACTTTCTTTGACAATATTCGCTCGGGTGGCAAGAACTCTGCCCACCACAGATTCAGTTGATAATCCTGATTGTGGTTGCGTAGTAGAACTGCACACAAATTGCTGACCTCTCTGTGACTCAGACGACAACAAGAGTACGAATCGAGAAAAGCTTCTTTGTACACAACGGAGCAAGCGACGGAGGAGCCTTATTTATTACTGTAAGCATTCGAGCGAGGGGTCCCCAATCGCTGTGGTCTGAGCTCCGATGTTCCCCATACACTCGGGCCATCAACGTCACATCGAAGTGTTGTGTGTTTGGCTAATTCTGGACAACATTGTGTACGTTTTGCAAATTCGTTTTTCGCAGGAGACTGGGTATACCGTTAAATGTGCGAGACCTTGGATTATGTTGCAAAGTATTTATTATCCATGCACGAGTTTCAAGGTGCACAGAGCACAGGAAAAACACACGCGCCGACTGAGCTGTCTGTTTCTGGAGCAGAAAGGAGCGAAGGTGGGAATGAAGAATAGCACATTTCTCGAAAACAGGGGCTCTGGCGATGGCGGAGCGATGAAGATTCGGGTGAGTGTCAAAATCTTTCTTTCCCCCAAAGGGCCAACTGCAGCAACAGAACAACTGGCTGCTGGAAGCGGCTCGCCGCACAAATTTGCGCACCATTGTGTTTGAATTTCCAAGCGGCTCCGCGGCTGAAGAGCCGCAACTCATATTCTGTGCTTCACTCCTCACATATTTACTGGCGGTCCACTTTCACGCGCACTTTCTTTGCAATTGTTTGCATTACTCGGATACGACGAATTGGTGCCGGCGCCGCTCTACCCTGTGATTCGATGGAGTTGCTCTCATTCTCTTCGGGAATTGCGTCAGAGTTCGGCGAGTTCTGAGCACTGGGAAAAAATGGGCCATATAACACGTGTTCAAACGTGTACAAAGTTTACGGGTTTGTGTTATTATTGTGTTCTCAGCGTGCAGAACGTTAATGAAATGTGTTTTATATGTGTTCGCAAATGTGTTATTTGGCCTTTTTTTTCCTAGTGGAGCGGGCATGAACGAGCGCTGACATGTGAGGAACAACGCGCACGTTCCGCCTGATTTGGCCTTCTGCTGGAAAATATTTTGCCGTTATAGTTGAAAAGACTCGTTGTGCAATTGGTGCAGGGGCGCGCAACGGTGGACATGGAAACATGCACCTTCAGCCACAACGTTGCCAAGCAGAGTGGCGGGTCTATCAGTTTGAGCGTGAGTGCTTTTTAAGTCCTGACAGTGTTCTTCCAAGCTTGAATTCTGATGGTAATTTCTGACAAGGAAATGCGAATGTAGCGCACGGGCTGGTTCAGTTCTACTTGGCTGCGAGAGCCGCCAAAAATTTGTCTTCTGGCTGAGCTACACGACAAATACTGCCGTTTGCTTGGAAAACGTGAAACAAATCAGGTTCTTTTTTCAATATGCAAATTGCCGGCACTGTTAACGCATTCCTATGTACGCCATGGGCTTCGTAAACAGATCAACCAAAATCACGTAAAGTCAGAGAATATCAGAGATTAATGAAATCCAGTCGCACTGTCGCCATTTTGGCGACAATAGGATCTGTTGGACACCTCGTGTCACAGGGCAGGCTTGTTTTTACACTCATGTTCTTACATGCAAAATGCGCAAAAAACGAACTGCCATTTTTGCGTTTATATTCACGCTTATTTAGAGATCGCCGACATGCGCAGACTACATGATGATGTCCCAATCAGTGGTCAATCCTCCACTCTCTTCAGCAACGGCAACACAGCGCAAACCTCACCATCAGCAAGGACAGCGACGGCCCCGAGCAACATATCGTCTTATGCATATTTTTTGAATTCAGTGCGTCTATCTGCCACTCCACGGATGGTCTGAGTCTGCGCGTACAGTCTCTAAGTACACAAGACCATTTTTACAAATTTTACGGCTAATTACGCGCACAAACGTAAAAGCCATTTTGCGGATAAATGGCCGTAAATGGAATGGTGTTTGCACCGTAAATACCATGCCTGTCTGCGACGAGATGGCGACCACTGGGAGGAGTCACAGCAACCAGTGTTCTTCCGAGTCGTAGAAGCCCAAAATGAAATGGTCGGAGGGCGCAAAAGACGCGGGGAATTATGGCAGTTGATGGGTGCCACTGATGCTTGACTAGCAGAATTTTTCAGAGCAACGACGGGGCGGATTGCAGCGATTTATAATTGCTCCCAAAAATTCTTTACCCCGTTTAATTGAGGCTGCCATTGTTTTGCACTCAGGGTCCAAAACTGTTTCTGTATAATAGTACTGAAGTACATGTACAGAAGTACACACCCTATCTTCATTGCTCAAAATTGCGCATTGATTTGTGCGGATTTGATTTGATTAGTGCGGAAAGGTACATGTGCGGGCACACACATAAGCAGCAGATTAATGTGTGGATGGAATGCATCGAGCTAATGGTGACTTCGCGCCTGACCTCTGGCCGTCCATAAACTCAGGGAAAGTCAATTTTGACAGCCACGAATGGCGCATTCTACAGCGGCTCCGCCATCACAGGAGGGGCTATTGACCTCAAGGTGAGCGAGCTTGGAAGGAACCGGAGTATCGACAGTGCGTCATCTTACTGATAATTTTATTCTCGTTTTGAAACCGCTTATTCTTCACTTATGTACAAATATATGCTTACTGTTGGACTGGATAAACTTAATTCAAAATCAAGAGAACTGCAACATGCATGCAGTACACAGCGCACGCAGCAACTTTGAAATGCAATCGCACACTTGTCTCCAATTGTCGCAGTCCTAAAACACCCGATTTTACATATTGCTCGCCAATTCTGACTTCATGACTGCCACACGGCATAACTTATTTATGTGGATGCGCTGAATTGTCGAAATTTAACTGCATGTGCAGAACGGAGCCAAGGTGGCCGCATCAATGTCTACGTTTGAGAAGAATTCTGCATCTGGAAATGGAGGGGCCATTTGGTCATATGTAAGATGAAAGATCAGTGCACCTGAACATTCGCATTGGCGCTCAACCCCGTTTTTCCCAACAAATGATGAGGGGGATCACGATGCCCAGGTTTTGAAAATATGGCCACCTTCTTTGCGTGAATTCAGCAAAGCAATTTTGTTTATTTTGCAGGGGGACGCGGTGCTCTCTCTGAATGGGTCCACGTTCATAAACAACAGTGCCACAGGGAGCCCTAGCGATCCCATGTTCATCAGGTATGATGAGCGTTTGGCCAAAGGAGGCGCCGTTGGCGTTGAGGTACGTTGTGGAGGCCGCAAGTGGCACCTGTCGAGCAGCTGCCGGACTGTCTATTCCACGTCGTTGGATGCGCAGGTTCAATTAAATGACCCACTCGGTCCCCATGAAGTGGAACCAAATGCTGGACACATTGCTGTGACGTCTCCAGGTCCCCCCGTACAAAAGCTCGAGGGCATCTATGGCGATTCACAATTCAATTTTCGCCAGAAACAAGGCCAATCATTCAGGGGGGGCAGTGTTCATGGGATCAGACGACAGTGCAGATGTCTCGTGCAACATGTCATCCACCGTCTTCGAAGAAAACGAGGCTCTGTTGGGCGGCGCCGTGAGGCTGTCCTTCGCGGCTGTATTTTCTATGACGTCCGTCCGCTTTGCCAGAAATGAAGGGGTTGAAGGCGGTGCCCTGCACATGGCATGGGACCCGGCTTATGTGCGACCGGGCAGCATTCGCGGCACCGGTTTGGAATTCCTTGAGAATACGGCAAGAGTTAGTGGGGGTGCTCTGTTTGCCATTGCTTCGTTGGGAGGAGGAGGAGGACCATTTGCTGCTTTGTCCAGTGAACCTCTTCCGCTCGCGCTGGGAAGCACGGAAAATATTGCAGAGAGCGCCATTTTTCAGGATTCGTCGTTCGGCAGGAACAAGGCTGGTGAGGCGGGCGGAGCAGTGGCCCTGTCGGGCCCGCACGTGGGATTCTTCAACAGCACATTCGCCAACAACTCCGTGGGTGCCAGTGATGGCGTTGGTGGTGCCGTTGCACTCCGAATAGATTCAGCGTTCAGTGGGAGGGACATACGCATGACAGGCAACACAGCGGCCCATGGTGGTGGCATCTATGCGGAAGATGCATTATTGGACTTTGTGAGAGCTGAAATTCATGGGAACAATGCCTATAGAAATGGCGGCGGACTTCACGTGAGGTTCGGTTGGGATTTTGCGGGGCAAGATGCTGTCGGCAGGATGGAGCAGTGCATCATCAGCAACAACAGTGCAAGAGCCGGAGGTAAGTGAACGGAACACAAACATGTCCATGCACTGTATCATCCCCCTTTTCATGAAAGACCGACACGTAAAAAGTTCAAAAATGGATTAATTATATATGCATATGTGCACATATGTATTCTTCCTTGGTTTCAAAATTTATGTCCGATGTCAATGTGCAGGAAATGGAGATCAAACTTGCTAGTCAGAAGAATTCACTGAACAATTCAGAGCACCATGTCAATAGCTATTCATATAGTGCTCAAACGTCCAAAATGATGCTGCCATTCTTGCGACATGCCAAGAAGAGTTAAATAACATCTTCTCATTTCTTCCGGGCCTTGGTTGGGGTACAGCATGTTTGCGTTGTATTTAAGAAGAGCTGGATTGATCTGGGCTGTCATTAGGGGAGAAATGTGCTCTGGTGGTTTGGTGCCCACTAAACATTCGGCTAGATTCCAAACAGAATTTGCAGTGGAAAATGAGTTCAATGCAGAATTTGGGTAATAGCAACAACTGCATGCCAGTGATGGCCAAAGGCCAAGAGATACATGGATCATTGCAAAAGCGTTTCTGCCTTACCGGTCTCCTGAGCCCACCCCGTCATGTACCCCCATGACAATAATTACAAACACCGTTAACTTTCACATTCCCGAGGTTCCCGTCCTTTAAACTTGCCCATTCGCTTCGCTAGTACTTCAATGCCACTTCAGTGAGTGACTCCCCATGAGTCAGCTCCCTTTCCCGTACTTCACTCCCTCAACTCCCTCTCCATCCCACAACTAACCCGAACTCCACTATCCAGGGCGGGAGGGCTGGGTGCGAAACAAGATAAGGAGGGGGACCGAGGGGCTGCCTAAATAGCCGCCCTCCGCCGCCCCGCCAAAGCCCGCCAAACTCGAGGGCGCCCTCGCGGGCGGCACCTCGGAATACCGTACTTTGACTGACCCAAGGTACTAGGGGTGGCCAGAAATCCCAAGGGACGGGGTTGAGTAAACCCCAGGTTCAAACTGCACCGTTTGAATCGCCGGTGCAGCCCACCCATCGTCGCCCTTGGCAGAAACCCATTAACAGGATAGTTAACTTCATTTTTCTTTCATAGATTCTAAGGTTTTGGAGGCCGCGCGCACTTGCATCAACCAAGAGAACGATCTAGATTGAAGCAAAAGCAAACAATTGTTGTAAATAGTAATTTCGGCAGCACGATTCAGCATACTGGAGGACACATTTCCCCCAAAGCATGACAGCAATGATGTCAAAACGACAATATCCTCAGAAGTATTGCATATCCTGGATATGGAATATGATATGGAGGGGCCCCATATCACTGGTAAAAATTCGACCATTTTACACGGTGTACAATTGGACAAATCGTTTTAATTTCGCGTACAAATCGGGTGCTTCAGAGCACGATTTTATACGATTGCTGTAATCGTGTAGTTTTCAACCCTGTGTAGTACACGAAAATTGTCCACCTTACCACCATGGACAACACGACAAAGCACACGGTTTTACACGATTCCAACAGTGTACCAGCGGCAAATGTGTACTTTGTGATTAATACATGATCGCTACACGATGGTCACACGATTTTTACAACATTTTGACATGTGCAACATGGTACACGAATTTCTGGACCGTGTACTTTGGCCGATTTTTTAGCAGTGTATCCAGGATGTCGAATATGATATGGGAGACACATCCTGGGATATGCCCAGGATATGGCCGAGGATATGGGTCTATCCCAGGATATGGGCTGCAGTATTGTAGGATACGGGCGTTCCATATCCAGGACATGGGGGCCCATGACCTGCTATTTAACGAGGGTACGGACAAGGATATGTATATCTAGGATGTGCAACATTTTCCGACGGGCTGCAGTACAAAATTCTCAACTTGAGAAGTTTTTTGCCTGAATTTTGGTGCATTGTTTTGGGACATACAGGAATATGGCGAATGCAACAATGCAGGGAATTGAGGGCTTGCATGGAACTGAATAGGGGCGTTGTTGAAAATGTTGTTAACACTAGGAAAAAAAGGCCAAATGACACTTTTGCGAGCACACATAAAACACATTTCATCAAAGTTTTGCATGCTAAGGGCACAAAAATAACACAAATCCGTAAAATTTGTGCACGTTTCAACACATGTTATTTGGCCCTCTTTTCCTAGTGTAAATGTCATGTTGCACGGTGGCGACTAACATAGAAAAGGTCCACATCAACCTAAAGTCAACCACAGAGTCCAAGCATGGTGGCGGATTCATTGATTGAGCTGACTTTGCCAAGTTCTGGCAAGAATTCGGGATCCAAAAACGTTCTTGATACGGACACGGTACATAATTTTTAACAGTACTAGTCCTTGTACTCTTATGCTGTTTGTTCACAAAAGAGAGTACCGTGAATTTATGTCCCGTAGGGGTAACGACTATTGCCGCTTTGGGGCGCGAACTGCTTGGAGAAGCAGAGGTGCTGAAAGCCACTCCGTCCTGTTTGCGATGCTGAGAGAATGTGTCTCAATTTGTTTTACTCAGGTGGGCTGTCCTTCTACGTGGATCGCCTTGAAGAGAGCATCGAGTTCGACTCTTTGTTTTTCTACTTCCGTGTGGCACAATCCCATTTCGTAGGCAACACTGCAGATGAAACTGGCGGGGCTTTGTTTACCAATGTCCCCAGGTCCGTTTACATTGTTTGCGACGGAATGGAGGACACATTTGAGGGAGTCCTACCCAGCAGTGGTTACGATTTGCAACAGCCAGTGCCCAACCCCAGGGCGCACCCCTGCAAAGAAACTTGGGTTGGGAACGCTGCACGGAATCCCAGAGGAGGCAATGTCATGGCGACAGCTGCGGTGGCATCGAGAGTATGCACAAGTGGGGCTGCGGCCTGTGTGGAGACGTCAAGAGGGTGCAGGGGTGATGTACGCACATGCTCTGTCAAGGGGCCGCCGATTCATATTGCAAATCACACGAGTGGCCGAGTGTTGGAGTATTTTGCGGTCGAGGTGCTCGATTTATTCGGGAAGCCTGCCTATGGGCAGATGGACCTGATGCGCATTGTGGTCAGGGTGGAGGACCCCGGTGCCTTCGCTTTTGGACAGCTGATTGTTGACGCAGGAGGTGTGGCGAATTTCACTGACGTTCGCTTCCTGGGAGGGGTGAACAGGACGTATTCAATGGTGTTGAACTTTGAGCCCAAGCATCTGCCGGACATAAATCTTCGTGTCAGCGTCCGAGGCTGCCTTCCTGGGGAGGTTTTGGATGTCCAGAAGGAGCACTGTGTGGAGTGTCCAGAGGGCATGTACAGTTTCGACCCGATGCAGGAATGCAAGGGCTGCCCATCGGAAGCCAAATGCGGGCCATCGACCATCACACCGAATGACGGCTACTGGCACTCAAAATCCACGTCAGCTAAAGTGCACCAATGCGCGTCCAAGTACGGATGCCAATACAAAGACCGAAGCGCGAAATTGGAGTTTCAGGCGAGGCAGTTGCACTACGATGGCAAGTCCATGGGGTTCGACGACGGCCAGTACCAACAGTGCTCAGAGGTGGGGGGCGCCACCCGAGGCGCGGAAAATCGCCGCACATAATGTCACGTGCTCTGTTGTTTTTATCAAAACTTGGGGCAGAGACGCATTGTCATTCTGTTCGTCAGGATCAGGATTTGCCAAAAACATTATTACTTCCGCAAATGCTGGGAACTCTGTTTATTGTGCAAGAGCGAATATTTGAGATAGATTCTGCGGCCTAATAGCAGATGAAACTCAACAGCTTGTGCCTTCTCAAAATGTAAACAAATTACCAAAGGAAGCTGCACATCCTTCAAATGTACAAATAGTCTTGATACACCGTCATTTCTGAGAATCGTTTGGTGTCCAGGGCTATGGTGGGGTATTGTGTGGCACATGCACCGCCTCCCACGGCAAAATAAGGTCTGGAGAGTGCATCGGCTGTGGAGACAGGAAAAAGAACGTTGCCTTAGTGTGCCTGAGCGCCCTCTGGTACGCCGCCCTTGTCTTCATCGTCGCCAAGAACGCCTTTCCCGCAGCAAGGGACCACGACACAGATGTCGTGTCCACGCTCAATGCAAAGGACGTCGGCATTTTGGGAATCGGTAGTTCGAGAGATTTTGCCGATACATCCCCCGTTTCGGCAATTAGATCGCCTTCCGAGGCGCGCCCGCTTGAGGGGCAATCGGCCTGCACCGGCATCCTTATTGCAGGAGGCAGCGGCGACGGGAGGGTTATGGAAACGAAAGAAGGCCCATACAAGGCCAACGGCAAGAACTACGCCAGCGATATTTTCAAGGTGGTGGAGAGTATCAGAATATCACAGTTGCCCAGTTGGCATCTCCATGGATAGATGTATCATAAATTTTCGTAAATTTACAGAGTTTGTGCACAATCTGATATTGTAAGTTTATTGAGCGAAGCGAAAGTGTTGCCATCACCAGTGCCGCCAATGCGTCAAATGAATACTTTTGGTGGAGTGTCATTCGTTCGGTAAATCGGTTTCGAAACGTGGTGAACTTGATATTGGTAAACCGCCTTACGACAATCAGCTACACATTGCACGTTTGGCTTCATGTGACTCAGTAACAGATTTGCAGAATTTATCTACGGTGTTACAAAACACGGCAGTGTAATTGTTTGTCGTATGCATTTCTATGGCGAAACTGGTAAATGCTCCCACAGAAATGCATATGTATATTGCATCAACGTACCCATGTCATATCGCTCAATGGTCGGGTGAGGATGGGACGCTGTCATTTCACACTTTGACGCCAGAGCAGCTGATTACAGCAAGGTGGCAGCATCGTTAGTCCTTGCTGCCGTTCACGAGCTGTTGGTCAATATCGCCCAGGTGCAATCATGATTACACTTGGATTTCAAAAAATATAGATACTCCTGCGCAAGGGTATTTATGCGCAGAAAAAGCACGCTTAGGCAACAAGCCTTCGCCATAAAACGCACAACGTGTATCCCAGCGATATTTTTCAGTCGCAGCCTTATCTGTTTGTATGCCAGTCTTCAGAATATTTTGGAGTTTCCCTTATAGCGTTGGTTTTCCATTGCATATGTCAGTTGCCGATGTATTTGTTGCTGAAGCTGTCGATTTGCTCCAGATTCTTATCAATTTCCTTCAAGTGACGTCAATTGCTGTGTACATCAACATCGACTGGACAAACATGGTGGCCAAGACTTTAGGAGCCGCAGGTAGGCAAGCACTCACCCGCACACCAATGCTGTTCTCAAAGAACTCTCGTGAATGGAGGGGGTGGGGGGGATGGGATGCACCGCAAAACCGTGACTTGATCATTCTGATTGCAGAAACTGTTGTGAAGCAATATTGGCTGTCCTGATAGCTGATAGAACCTAAACTTCAAGTGCATATGCAAATCAGCTTGCCCACGGCCAGTGTCCATGCATGTGCAACATGTGCATTTCAGCGGCACATTCAGACATGCGAATCCACAAGAGATGCCAATTTGAGGACAGCCTCACCCAACATTGAGCATTCTACATGCAATTCTTCATGTTGCAGATCTGCTAGCTTCTGGTAGTGACGGACTCTTCTCTCTGGAGTGCGCCTTCCCACGGGGCTCCGCCCACCGCGCCACGCTGCGCACCATCGTCAACCTCACCATGCCCCTGGCCACGACCTTGGCATTCATCCTGCTCTCGACCGTCCTTGGGTGGATGAGGGGCAAGGAAACCGCGCACATCGCTCAGTTCTGGCGAGCCACCATGCTGGCGGTGTTCTACGTCTCCTACATCGACACCACGCGAAACGCGTTGAGAGTGCTAGATTGCGTCAGGATTGATGATGACGTGGAAGTAGCCCCGGGCGTCATTCACGGCCTGTCGGCGTATTGGACGGAGGACACCGGTGTGGAGTGCTACAAGGGCAGTCACCTGTATTTGACGGCATTGCTGGCTGCACCTCTCCTGTTGTGCGTGACTTTGGGCATGCCCATTCTGCTTATGGTGACGCAAATGAGGCGCCGGAGCACCCAAGGGAGGCATTCGTATGGGGAGCCGTACGGGTTTCTGTACAGGTCTTACCGCGATGGGTGCCAGTATTGGGAGGTTGCCATCATGACCCGCAAGGGCTTGCTGGCGGCCCTGACAGTGTTCCGACTGTCGCTGGGGCCCAATCTTCAGGCCTCCCTGGCCCTGGGCATTCTGGGGATAGCGTTTGGGGCCCAGTCCATCAAGCGCCCTTTCGTCGAGGACGGCGCCAATCTGAACGCGCTGGAATGCATGTCCCTTGCGTGCTCGGTGTTCGCCTTCTTTGCGGCCATCATATTCAATGATCCCCACACCTCGAGGGCGGGAGCGATCGCCACGTCCTTGCTGTTCGTGGCTTGCCTGGTGGCGGTTCTTGGGATCTTGGTGGCTGCGTTTCTGCACGAGCTCGTGAGAGGCATCGAGGGTGCCTTGGATAAGAGCAACGTTCCATTTGATCGCAATGCCAGTCTGGTGAAGAAGACTGCCTTGCTGTTCAGGAACCGGCGTGCCCGATTGGCCAGGAGTAGATGACTCAGGAAACATTCTGCTGCATGGCGAAGTGAACTATGCTTGAACTTTCGTGCTGGCGCCGACGGGGATCTCGTTGCACCAACGGATCTTCAAGTTTGGTGACGGAGGATGTCGCGAATTTTGCACGTGCATCCCATTGCTACGCTGGCGCTAACATAGCAGGTGCGATTAGCTCGTGAAGTTATTTAAGGTAGCTAGAGCAGTGCTCCTCTCAGGTGTATTGTTTGATTTGCGAAGCAGGGTAGCGAATCGACAGGTAGCCAGTTTCCCGTGGCACGTCTGTCAGTCTGCAAGAGTGCACTTTGGAGACTGCAGCTCTTTTGTAACGAAGAGAATAACAGCTAGGAGACTCTTACGGTAAGAGCACATACGGGGGCAGCCACTGTGCGCTCTTCGTTGCTGGGACCCAAAAATGAAGTCAGAAATGCAGATTGCGTGCTCGCAGCACATGTATAGGATTCCCAGATTTCGACAGCCCTCAGCCACGGAAAGGAACTGTGTGAGCTGGACTTCATTAATGGAAATGACGAGCACATAACAGAGGCACTTGACCCAGTGTGTCACGCGCCCCCCCCACACACAGTGTGTCAATTAAGGAAATGGTCATAGCCTGGCCAAAGATGTTAACCAAGAAAAAAGGAAGGGGCAGCAACAGTATCTGGCAGAGCAACAACAGCATGAAGGAACCAAGGCGGTAAACTGGTGCAGGCACGTCAGTGGCGAGAACCACAGGCGCGGCGAACGTAGGCAGCAGATGAAGGCAGTAATTAGGTGCTTTGGACCGCCAGAGGCTTATTGAGATTTTGCCACCTCGGGGTTGAAGGGGCAAATGGCGAATCCTGGCGGTATTCAAGACTGAAACAAGCAGAGCCGGGTGGTGGAACCGGGCAAGTGTGCGCCTCCGTCATGGGCTCACTAGCGCTGAGAATGTCGTGGGAGCGGCGTGCTCCTGGTCCATGACGGGGAGCCCATCACGGCGAGGGCCATACAGAAAGGAGTGGGATGTACGGTTACCATCGCATGCTCGGTTACCGCATAGCAATAAAACAACGCCTTCAATACCTATTTGCAATGGCTTGAATCATGGCTTCTTCTGCTTGGGTTATTCTGTTTTGCGCCGAAGGTAGGAAGAAGAGGCGGCAAATGACATGTGATTACCACACTAGTACAGTTGGCAGGGGCTAGATTAGTTGATTGGGGCACTGAATCCACAAGGTCATAAGCAGGAAATTACAAAGGCTTTCGCAGTCGTCCAGAGTGAAAGATCTTTTAGGATTATGGGAGACGGTGTGTTTGAGCCAAAAGCTCTAAAGATGCTCGCTGCGTGGATATGGACTGGGTTCCCATTTGCCCGACTGCCGCTCACGTCGCGCAAAACGACACGGCACTAACTGGTATCCAGCGATGGAATTGCCGTGAGCACTGAGGGACATAGAAATCAAGGCTCACATGAAAACGGCCCGCGAAAACAGCAAATAAATAAAATGCAAATACACAAGACATGCAAAACACCATATAAAAAGAGCACAGCAAACGCCGCTGGGCATGCAACTCACACATGGCGTGGTGTGCGTGGGATCGAAATCAGTTTGGAAGCGAACCCATAGTCTCAACGAGTGCGGAGCTTTGGCCCTCCGGCAACTTTGGGGAGGAGAATGGCAAACCGAGAACAACGTTTTACAGGAGGCTGCTGCTGAAAGGTGACAGGACATGCAGGCCAACGAGCGTTGCAACAATCATTTCCGCATTCAGTTTTCCAATGTAGAGTTTCGGACCATGAAATCCACTTCAATGCGCTTTGCGTACCGTATATATCTCCTGTTGCAGCTTCAACCAAAAGAACTCCTTAAAAAGCGAGCTAACCAAAGCGGCCAACGCTGGAGCTTTGAAGTTCAAAATTCCAGAGAATCACGTTGAAAGGTCGTCACTATGCCCTCTTCCGTGACGCCAGACCTAGAGAAAGTCAGAATGCAGAAAATTTCAGTCGCGTTTTGCTGACTGGAGTTCCCTCGTTGATTCCTCATTGCGCTCTCACTCCCCCAGTGCGTAGGCAGAAGTGTTCCTTCTCTTCGGAATCACGTCCTAACGGAGGACACAAAAATATGGTCAGTCGTTAGGTTCTGGCTGAATTGAACACGTTTAATGTTCTGCCGACGCCGAACACGCCGCAATCATTTGAAGACAATTGACGCGGTATGAATATGAAGGTCTCCGGACTACGAGCCGACAAGTACATCCCAAAATAAAAAACCCAAACGCTGAAGTATTAAACCAAAAACAGCCGTTTCAACAGAAAACCAGGTCTGGGGAGAGTCCGTCGGGGTGATGGCGATGTGCTAAGCAGCGGGACAGGAGGCTTTACCGCCTTTTGTGCGGGCCTCTGGTTACTGCTTCTTCCATGTCTGGGATTTCCGCGACCGAATCCATCTCCAGGGCCTCTGCCGCATTTTCATCGAGTAGAAAGCAGCTCCCAAGTCAGTAACAGATGCGGGCTCACGCAAAATCAGAATATGGATCGATCACAATAGTCTTTCATCATTTTCACACAGAGCCGCATGGGGCCTGCATATGCATACAACGGTACATGTCACCTGGTATGATGTAACACACTTGTAGAAAAGGAATAAAGAACTGTTTTGATAGCGCTATTTGGTGAATTTTGGCTTGCGTTGCCACATCGCCAATGATAAACTTTCTACCACCATGCAATTTTGAGCAAGTAGACGCGGTCGACGCACAGAATAAGTTTGTGCACAATAAGACACAAGTTGCCTGTAATAGCCCCTCAAAAGGCCACTGTGATGCCAGGGTGGATTTTGCAGCTACAATCAACAGGTAAGCGGACGATTAAAATACGTTTCGCCATCGCTTTGGGTTCTGGGTGACGTGCTGGAACATGCTGGGCGACCTTTAGATACGTTGAGACCGTAACTTCAATTGCCCAACAGTGTTGCACCAGCCCCGAAAGTATTTTCGTACAAGACGTGAAGAGCGCGAAATGTCCCCCGCAATTATGGCATTAAAACAGAATGTGTGCCCTTTATTTAACAAAAGCATTTTCCAAGACAAGCTACTTGGCGATTCCGCCCCAGTTAAGTGGAGGCCGTTCTGTTCTTTTACCCCTCTGCAGCCCTGCAAAGCGAAAGCCTCACTACTTTGCGTATATTTTCCACCCGCCTTTTTTTAGAGGGAATACAGGCGACTTTTGCCATTTACGCAGCTTTTGAGGATCTCGTAGGGAGGTGCTACTTTCCTAGTCCACAATATTCCCATTTGGATAAACAAATCAGTCAACTGCTTTAATCAGCAGGTCGGTATGTCAGCCAGTCGGTCAATTAGCTATCTGTCGGCCCATCTCCACACCACCCAATGCCAATCAACTGGCCAAGGGCGTGCGCAGTGCCACACGCCGCATTCGACCGCCCACCTTGCACTTCGCCGACCTTTGCCCGCCTTCCCGCCCTTGGCCTGCCTGCCCCAGCTCCTTTCCTCGCCCTTCCCACCCCCTAGGCCTCGCGCGCCAGGCCGCCGCCCGCCTCGTCCCCTCCGCCCATGCCCCTCCTCGCCGTCCCCCCGCTCCGCGCCAACGCCCCGCCTTCGACACATGCATCAATCCTGCCAACGCCGGGAACGCCGCACCGGCCGTGAGCCCGACCATTGAATCCATTCCGCCCATCGACTTGGATGCGGATGTCGCCACTGAAGCTGGCGCCATTTGGACGCCCCGGGTTGCCGTCGCGCCAGTTGTGTCCGCACCAGCCAGAGTCGCGGCTCCCACTCATCTCCTGCATGGTCCTGGCCTTGTCCGCGTTCCAGTCTGTCCAGCGGTCCGCCCTGAAGACCCGGACGTCGGTGGCGCCCGGCGCCCATCCCACAAGCCTGTCCGTCGGCCGCGGTTTGAAGGGATGGTCGTCGCGGCGGCTGCCATGCGGCGAGGCGCAGTGCGTCCTGTGCGGGCCTGGAGCCAGCGACGCCGGATTCAATGGTGGAAGTGCTCACATGCCTGGTTCACTGCCGCCATCGCTTGTCAACGTAGATAGAGATGTTTCGGCAGGAGATGCCCACAGTTGAGAGCTTGCCGAGGAGCCATCCCGAAGCGCTTGGGTGAATCAGGCTGAGCATGGCGTGCATGCGCACGGAAGGTCGCGCATTCCATGTTCGTCCGTGGACGGAAAACGGTGTCCCAGCGCGGCGGCACAGGTCGCACGGCCACGACCGCGGTTTTCACGCCTGCGGTCCAATCTGCGAAGCGACTTGCAGACGGGATGGCTTCCAGGCCACGCCGCTCACGCCGGAGCGACATTTTGGCGGTACAGCCGGCAGCTATTCCACCGCCCAACAGCGAGCCAACCCAAAGCGCGCCGCACGCGCATCTTTCACCCAGCGTCTCAGGTCGCCGCAATCCATTGTCAGGAACGACGGCAGCATCCCGAACGCACACACAGCCTCTGCGGAAACTCACCCCACATCCGGCCCCGACATTCCCAGCAATCCCACGAACAACATCAGCAAAGACAGAGGCGCGCGCCTAACCTCTCCCTCCCCCTCCCCCCCACCTGCAGCGCCCCGCCTGTCCCCACCTCCCGCGCCAATCCCTTCGACCCCGTTCCACCCGCTGCCGGCCTCAGCGCGCCCGCCGCTTCTCGCCCCCGCGCCGCTTCCCCTCCCCGCCTCCCCCGCCCTCGGCCGCCGACCCCCGCATCTCCCCCTTCTGCCTCGCCTCCCTGCACCTGCTGCGTCCCCTGCCGCGCCCCTCCCTCGCGCCTCCCCCCTTTCCAACATCCGGCCGCCACCACGGGGCGGCGCCAGCCGATGCCTCCAGCCTGCCGCCTCCACCGGTGGCATCCATCTCGCTGCTCTCGATTGCCTTCTCCACCGTATCCGCCCAGTCGAGCCGCGCCATCCCGAACACGGATTCATCCTCGCGAACCGCCCCAGGCGCCCTGGAGCCGCCCGGCTCCACACTCATCCCTTCGAGCGCGATTCAACAAGAATGATTTTCTTGCATTCGTTCCCAATGCGGTCCCGGGCGTGGCTTTCGCCTTCCGGCCCCGCATAGTGCCCTCGGGGCTTCTCTTGTCCGGATGCCAATGGGGCGCTCGCCGACAGTTGCGGCTCCGGTGGACTTCTCTCGCATTCGGTGCATGAGCATGGAAAAGCCGCGGGAATGTTCGACGGCGGTCAGGGGGCTTCACGGGCGAGGTCACCCGCGGACTTGCCGGACGGGCGACAGAGTCTCGGCCATACAGACGGTGTTCAATGTCGGATGGATGACGCTCATGGGCCCCGCCGGTGTACGGTCCATTAGTACCCACCGCGGCGGTCCCCGTGGGATGCGCGTCATGTTCATGTGTGGGCGGAAAAATTCGATCAGTGGTTGCACTGTTGGAGAAGGTGCACCGGCTAAACCAGCTGGCTACTATAACTGTAGTTATTATGGGGAGCTGCCAGCCTACTGTGAACAGCAAAGACACTCGTACATCTGTGTGAATTAGCCATGTGTATCCACGGTTGTGCAATTGACATTGACAAATTGTGCGCCACATACTTCAGCAGCGTGCCTCAGAAACGTCCTCTCAGGTTTCTTCTGTTCCTCATCCGAAACGAGTCTCATGTTTGTGGCCATTTTGCCGTTTCCACAATGCGCCCATTTTCAGGGGACCGCCTGGCGTACTTCTCATTGCTCACTGATTCGTTGACTGACCATAATGCACACATGTACGGATGTCAGTCAATCAATCACTGGCTATTGTACAATTGCCATTTGGGGCTTAAGGCGCTGCAGGTTCTCGTTCATGCACACAAATACAGAGCGTTTGACCACCGTCCAAATGCACAGGCAAATTATAGCTCATTAGTTCAATTAATTATAAAATAAATCAATCAGCTGCAGATAATTTGTCTCTTCTCTACTTGCTTGTGCAGGTTATCCTACATTATCTTTCTTCACTACGATTTCTTATGAAAGCCCGCGTCTCAGATTCTTAGTAGCGCTACTGGTATGATTGCCACTAGTTGTTCCGGGAACATTATTCCCACTTGCATGCCAAGTTGGTATGTGGCTTCGCGGGCAACCCTTGGTGTTATTTCCGTCTCATTGACTGTTCTTGCAACACATGCAGCACCCCGACAATTAGATCTAGGGAAAACTCTTCTCACTGATCGCAAGGGATACTATGCCCCGTCGACGTTGTAGTTAAGAAAGTCTACTGCCACAACTGTTACAACTGTTTGCTTGGGGCCGTTCACCAGCCAAGAAGCTTGTCCAGTGGTGAATGTGCGCATCTTGTGCAATTTGAATAGCTCCCAGGCCAGTTGTCTAATATTTTGGCTCGAAAGATGTCAGAACTCGTGTAAAAGCTCGCAGAGACACTGGGAGCATGATAGCATCCCGGGAGTTGTTGTTCAATTGTCCGATTGTTGCCCACAATTCGAATATGTGAAGTGAAGTATGGAGACAAATACAACACGTTGGCTGGATGGTTCCCAGAAGCTGACGTTGTGGCAACAAACCGCCTCACAATGCATTGGCACTCTTGCCATTAGTATGCCTCTTATGGCTCCTATCAGTTGTCATTCTTTTGGGCACGAACAATTGCCATCAATGGACCATACAGTATTGTCCCCATACGAAAACGCCATGTGGGAGATGCCAATTGCGACGCCAGTTTGGCACTAACTGTTTCCACAACAGTCGCGTTGATGCCATCGAAATCGTTGCGTTGGCGCCAATGTCATGATTGCATCACATTTGGCATTGCCAAACTGATATCAGTTTGGCATTATCGATTTGTTTTGGTGTTCCAATGTTGTAAAAGAAACAAATATGGATCCGATTGTTTCGAGAGCCACGAGCCACCCTCGGCCCACGAAAGTATTTTTCATCGCAACAGCGCCCACCGTTGGGGCGTATGGGGCGAAGCGGGGTGACGCGAGAAAAAGACGAAGGCCAACAAAAAAAAGAGTTACGACACCGGGACTTCCCGAGAGATCCCTCATCTCAGTACTGCTCCGGCCCAACGGTGCTTAACTTTCGAGTTCTGAAGGGGTCGAGGGAGGGAGGGAGGGAGGTGTTACAGAGTGTGGAAGGGGTCGAGTGCTTTCACCGTGATGTGGTCGTAACTACTGGGGTAGTGGAGGTGAACATTTTTATAAGAATTAATATTCGTGCGATAATACAATAGTTGAGCACGGTCTCCAGCTGAAAATGAAGGACACACAAAGGCGGCCCGCTGGTGCCGCGCTCGCGGCTGCCACGGCGCGTCAGATTGCTCCAAGCTCACGATTGTAGCCTTCCCTCAAAGGAGGGGGCGGCCGATTACAGACCCAACCGAGGATCGACTCCCGCGAACACCGACCGTCCCCGCCAGCGCTGGCATGGCCGCGAACGGCGCGTGACGCGCTGGCGGGAATCGTCGACCGAGTCAGACGCGAGGGGAGAGGGCCCTGGAGCAGGGCAAAGGGCAGAGGATGGCGCCGCTGTTGTCGACCGGGCCACCTGGAACATGGATGCCGGAAAGCGTGGCGGTTCCGTCCCCGTGGCCGGTGGGTTTCCGAAAATTTCGAATAGAAAAGTGAACCCAGGCCCCAAAGGCGCCATTGATGTCCACCACGAGGTTTGAGGCGCAGAGAAGCGATCGGGGCCTATACCCCGTGGCTATCCCCGTCGGCGGCTGAATGGCGTGTTGAGCACCCGCGGCACCACTGCTGACCAGTCCCACCTGTGGTGATGTCGCTCTCCAGTGATTGCCCACGGTGGGGTCCCTGCTCCCCTATTCCTAGGCCTCTACAACTTTCAGGTTGCTGGGAAGGGGCTCCAGACCCCAACAACACCCAATCAGGATGCAAATTTTGGGTTCCGCAAAGCATGTTGTGGCATGGTATTGGGTAATTGGGTTTTGTTGTGTGGTGGAGTGCTGCCTCATTCGTGCTTGTTCCCACACAGGATTTTGGAGTGCCGCTTGACAAGGACAGGGGATGGAGTGGAGCAGATAGGGTTAGGCCCAGGAGCAGGGGCGAGGTTGGGACAGTGGCGATGGCCAAAGGAGGGAAGGCTTGTGCAAACAAGGGTGTGCTCTGTTGGGGGAGAAGTTGCAGGTGAGACATTCCCAAGATGTTCAAATATTGTACAACATGATCGAATACAATGAATTATCTAATAAGATTGTGGACAGCCACCAGACAGGTGGATCTGCTACCGGCCAGGACACCTTTGTGGCTTTGTGACTTTGCTGGCTCGCTGTCTTGTGGTGCTTGCCAGTTCCTTGCAATTTTTCTCTCTTTGTTCCAAAGAAGCATCACCTTTGTGTAGCCAGGTTGGCGAGCCCCATCCTGAGAAAGAAATGAGAAGCTGTGGATGCAGTGGTTGTTGTTGTTGGCTCCAGCTGTTGCTGTTGCACTCTTTTGCTCTTCACTGCCAATCAGACCATACATACATTCGGGGACTGAGTAACATACTGTGCCAGGAATTGGCTGTGGCAAGTGAGCATAGGATTGCAGCTGCAATATAACTGTACTACTTGTGTGCAAGTCTCATGCTATGTTGCCTACTAGAAAAGAAAAGGAAAGCCCCATAAACGCATTGGAAAGAGGGACCCAGAACACTAAGAAGCGACTCAAAATTGTAAGACAGGGTTTGATGACAACGGAAAGCTCTCCAAAGAAAAGACACATGGCAATGATGAGGATGCGAAAAGAAAGAGAGCAAAGTGTGATGAACAAAGAGAGGATGTAGATCCAACCTTAGAAGGAGCTGTCAGAACGAAATGGAACTCATGTCTTGATGACTGGAGGGGCACAAAAGGATTGCAGCGATCCGAGAAAGGTACTTGCAAATGTTGGCCCAATTGAATCTCCAAGAAGTGAATCCCATGCCAGAATCCAGCCACAAAATGCAACCGTTTAATATCCCCAAAATTAGGACAACCCTGAAATGGGGCAGGGTGAGAGCAAACAACAGTACAGAAGTGGGAGACACCAGAGGCTGGGAAAAATACGGTGTCCAAGTAGAACATCAATCTC